TCAATCCCTGGTACCAAAAAATAAATAAATAAATAAATAAATAGATAGATAGATATAAAATAAACAGAAGGATATAGTAGAAACACATCAGGATACTCTTTTAGGGCTCATAAATAATTCATTTAAAAACAGTCTAAGTATATTAATTAAGCACGAGCTAGGTAGAGTAGATCTCACTTATTTGAGTCTAAGACACTAAAGTGATCAACTTCAGCTAAATTATTTAACTGAGTTCTAACAGCTAAGCATGGCACTTTTTAACCAAGTATATCCCTAATATTTTGTATATATATTCATTTTCTAATTACTATTACCCCAAAACCTTCACTTAAAGGAGATACCTGGAAAATATGGAAAGCCTAGAGCACTTCTACATACGCAGTAGGTATTAATACATTTTACTACATGTTGCTATAGACCCTACTTATTTTCATAATACTTAGCTGTCTTTTCACCCTGATCTTACTTCACAACCTATGGAGTTTGTCATTTCATTAAACATCCTCTCAACTCTAGAGGAAAACAGAACAGAGTGTATTAACAGACTGAGTGATGACTAAGTATCTTGCCACTGTCAAATTAAAACATCCTCGTTTTTTTATTATGGAGACTTCTCTTGGATTTCAATTGAACTGGAAATAGAGAAAATAAAAGAAAGTTTAAGCAGCCTTGAGTTTTCCTTTTATCTCTGAACATGAGCTACAATATCCCAAATGCTTCTCATATGGTAAGTTTTTACCATCAGCAGCATATAGCCAACTATTCTGAAGAAACACCTACATTAGGGAATATATACATGTGTGTATGGGAGAAGAGAAAGAGGACAGCACATGTGAAGGCCCAGCATAGAAACGTCTAGACCATTACAAAACTCTACTTAACTCAACTCAAAACTCCTTGAATAGGGCTGGGGATTTAGCTCAGTGGTGCCGTGCCTGCCTCACAAGCACAAGGTCCTGAATTTGATCCCCAGTACCAAAAAATAAAAAATAAAATTTTAAAAAATCCCTGAATAAAACATCTTATCAGGCTATAGACTAATGTCAAGCAAAAAAGTCAACACAGATGAATGTGATGAAGGCAGGAAACTTAGAAATGGTCACACATACATGTATCATGCAGTAAAAAAGTAAAACTGCTATGTACAGTACTACTATCAAATAATTTCATCTAGGACCCGAGTTTGATCCCCGGTACAAAAAAAAAAAAAAAAATTTCATCTATTCCAAAAACAATGATACATTTTTCTAACATTATCAAACAGGTCATGAAAGGACTGAAAGTACCATTTTCTTTCATCATATGACTTCTTAGTGTAGTTAGGTACTAGCTTTCAACAAATGCACGCATAGTGACACAATCAAAGAATAATTCCACTTTGGAGTCGTTTTCAGAAACTTTAGAAAACATTAACATTTTCAAAATGGTGACATTTCTATGCTAAACACAAAGGAAAAAGAAAAAAGAAAACTGTTCTTGAAGAAGTTTCAGTATTCTACAGGCAGATAATACACGTTAATATCTGGTAATACATCTGGTTTGGCTGCTCTGGTGAAGAAAGAAGGTCTCCATGCCACCATCACTTATTGCTTTGTTCATCCATATGCACTGGGATGGCCAGACTCACATTCATCCTGAGAGAAATCTAATCTACTGTAAAAGTATTCTATTGCTTCATGACTGCCAAGCTTTGAATCATAGCCTGTGCAAGATTTGTCAAGAAAAATCTTTGTTGTCAAAGTGGCTGAATTCATGAAAGCCAAGACTTTCAACCAGGATTTTCTTGAGAGATTTTGTCATGAAATGGGAGCAATTATGAAGTTTTTTTTGCCCAAGACAAGTTCAATGATGTTTGGAGGATAAATTCCACAACCAGATAATGCAGTAAATAAAATAGAAACTCTTTTAACTCTTCACCTTAAAAGTGAAATATGGAGTCACAATCCTTTCCTTCCTAATAGCATTAACAATACAGCTCTTGCCAAAAATGATCCATTAACTTGAAGGCAAAGAAAATGATGCAACATGAATTTATCAGAAGGGAACATTTTTTTTTTTTTTCCTTTTCAGCACTGGGGATGGAACCCAGGGTCTTGCTAAGTCACTAACTTGCCTAGTTTGGATATGAACTTGTGATCCTCCTTTGCTCAGCCTCCCAGGGTGCTGAAATTATAGGCATTTGCCACCATGCCCAACTAAGAGCTCCTATTTATTGCCACAAGCCTGATTTCACTGGGCAAAAGAATCTACAGATTTCATTTCTTCTTCTGTTTGTGCAATAGGGTTTTCAGAACTTGTAATACCCAAAACAAAGTAAAAATGGATTAGATATTAAAGATGACATAGGATTGGGGGTATAGCTCAGTAGTGGAGCACTTGCCTAACATATGCTTGGTCCTGGGTTCAATCTTCAGTACCCCACCCAAGAACCTACAAAAATGTCAGAGACAATAGCATACTTTCAGCTTATTTTTTAAAAGTTAAAGCCAAGCATGGTGGTGCATGCCTGTAATCCCAACATAGGAAAGGTGAGCCAGGAGGACTGCCTCAAGTTTGAGGCCAGCCTGGATTACATAATGAGTTCAAGTCCAGCCTGAACTACACCATGAGACCCCATCTCAAAAAAAAAATTTTTTTAAGTTAAATAATAGTAGCCCTTTTAATTAAGCCCGCTAAGTACTAAGCAAAATAAAGCTTCATTTTGGTTAATTTTTGTAGTATACAAGATTTATTCATTGCTCTCACTTATTTTTGCATGGAAAAAAGGAGATAAGGGTCAGGGATTTAGCTCAGTGGTTTCACTGCCTGCTGTGCAAGCACAAGGACCAGAGTTCGATCCCTGGTACCAAAAAAAAAAAAGGAGATAAAATTCTAATGAAGGTTCTTTCCACATTTTTAAAAAAGTTTCAGCGCAATTAAAAACTATTAGCAAAATTTTGTGTTTATATACACTGTACACCTATATGGTGGGAGAACATTTATATCTTTCATTAGATTAGACTCGGGACCTTGCGCTTGCGAGGCAGGTGGTGGAACCAATGAGCTAAATCCCCGGCCCTCATTAGATTTTTTTAAAAAGCATAAAATTTTTCCTTTCCCTTCTTTCCTTTCCCCTTCCCCTACCACTTCCCCTACCCCTTTGGACCTTTTCTTCCTATTCCAAATTATCAATTATTTGTTTTAATCATTTTAATCCTTATACACTTTCAGTTTCTCACACTAGAGAAACTATTCGGTATTTACATGTGTGTCATATTTATTTCACTTAAGAGTATGGCCTCAATGTACATCCATTTAGCTATAAATGTCTCTAGTTTCTCATTCTTTATGGCTGAGTAGTACTTCATTTTATAAAAAAAACCCACATCTTCTTTATCCAGTTTCCAGTTGATGGACAAGGAAAAATTATGAGAAAAGGAAAAAATGGAAACAAAGTCTTTGTAAATAGGGAAGAGTGGAAGGGGTGAAGGGAACACAGGGACTGGGGAAAAAATAAGAACCAAGATACATCATGTACAGGTACAAGCATGCAATGATAAATGTAAACGTACTGTATACCTAAAATGTACCAATAAAAGTATTTAAGCAAAAAAAAAAATATATATATATATAAAACATGAAGTTCTCAAGTGCCCCTTGCTTAAATATAGTGTTCTGGCTCATTAGACAATTTTTCTATTCTTTGTTTCAAGAAAACCTTTTCACCTGATTTCTAATACTCAATTCTATGAACTTTCACCAATAAATACTTTGGCATCCTTATATATAAAACTCAGAAAGTCATAAAGACAAAGGGTTAGAAAAGACAAGATGAGGAAGATGTACAGGGTTGAGGAGCTGATGCAACTACACAGCTTAAAATAGTGGACATGGTCACCTCTATTTCGGTTTCGAAGAAGAAACTGCTCTAACCTGAAGAACTTGCCTCATTATAAAAATAATTAAAACTAGAATACATTTTCAGATAAAGTTGTGAAGTCTTCCTCCCTAGAGCTCTCTAAATGAATTTTTTCATCTCTCTGGAGTGGTTTGGGCTTTGTCCTTTTTGGAGATGGAGAAATGTATAAAAATTCTTTGGATTAAATGTTAACGTGTTTTTGCATGCCACCCAAAGACATAGATCCCTGAGAGTTATTGTAAAATTTCGGTCAAGAGTTTGTTTTCAAATGTACTACAAAATTAAATTTGCCACTGATTTTCCGGTCTTAAATTTTCTGAATAATCAAAGAATTTTCTATCTAATTGTAACTAATTTAATTGTAACTACGTTTATGAATATGTATAGTGAAGAGTGACTTTTATTTATCAAAAAACCTCACACTTTACTAGCTAACACCATTCAGGTTATTATTCAAACACATTTTACTCTCAAAACAAGCTTCAGAAATACAAAGCTTGCTTTTGATTAACTTGCTGGGGCTTTTTAAAATGCTATTTTATAAGAATTTTGTGAGACCAAATCCATAGCACAGTTGAGTAATATATGCTAGCATGGTACAGAAATGGCAGCATGAACAGAAAGTTAAAGGAATAAGCTGTTTGCTCAGATAGAGCTTGAGGTGGCAACAGAGCGAAAAATTTGAAAGGAAGAAATAAGTATTATCAACTATCTTTGTAAAATCTATTTTCTAGGAGGTAGGGTAGAGAGTAATGAGATGTTCAAAGGTTAACAAGTTTCAGTTAGACAAGATGGTGAGCACAGTTAATAATGTATTGTATACTTGAAAACTGATATGAGTAGATTTCTCACTTCAGTGTGGAGGAGAGGTTAACTATGTAAGATGATCAAGATGTTAAGAAGCTTGACTGTGGTGATCACTTCACAATGTATACATTTATCAAAACATCATATTATACACTATAAATATATACTGCATAGTTTTTGTTAGTGATACCTCAAGAAGGCTGAAAGGAAAAAAAACCCAAAAAGTAGAACATCTGTATTTCAATAAATTCTTGGATCTAAGAAGAGAAAAGAAAAAATATCAACTATAACTTACCTTTTTGTCTCTGGTCCTTACTTCTCCATAGAAATCGAGGGCCTCTTGTGCCTTTAAAAATTTGCCCCGATGTAATAAATATGCACAAATCATTACACCAGTCCGTCCCTTTCCAGCTTTACAGTGAATTGCTGCAACATGATTGTCATCTTCACTTAGCCATTGGTCAAGATCTTCACAAAAAGGTTTGATAAGTTCTAGCTGTGGTGGGTTATGGTCTTCAAAAGGATACTGTGCAACTGTGAAAAAAAGATAACCTCAGAGTAAGAAAAGGATCTTGCCTAAATTTTTAATCAGAAGTACGTTAACTTTAGAAACTGTGTATAAACAAAAGATGTTTAGAAGAAAAACTGAATTTCACAGAATAATTTATTGTTCATTTATTTTATTATTTTTTAATAGAAAATGGTTTATTAGTAACTTTTAAATGCATCCATTGGACAGGGAGTTCAAGTACTATGTTCTTCACTTCATGCAGGAGGAAACTGTGATTTGACAGGGAGCACAGGTCATAACACTTCAAAGGTACACTGAATCCAAAATGAAACCAAGTCACATGGCCTTTCATCAAGCTTCTAAGTGGATTTCTAACAAAAGGAGTAATAACCTTTATAATACTGCATCATCACAAAACACATTTCAAAAAAAGTATGGATTACTAATGGATCAACTATGGAAAAACATTACATTCACATTTTATAAAGTAAAAGCACTAAGGTTATTTAAAGATGGTCTAACAAATGTTAGTGTTAATGACTTGAAGGCATTTACAAAAGAAAGTGAAAAAGTATACAATCTTAGTCAAGTTTATCAAAAAGTTTTAAGTCTTTCTTTTCACATGAATTGTTAAGAATTCAAGACTTCTATTTTCCCTACAGTCAGAGCTAAGGTCTGTCTTGTTAGTATCTGGCATGGTTCTACCCTCTTAAGAACTTCAAAAATCCTCCCTGATACCAATGGACTAATTATCCTCTGTGTCATCTAAGTGTATAAAAGCTATGTCCTTAGATCCTCAACTAAATCACCACAATACAGTACAGGATACAATCAATTAAATCCTTTGTTGTGACAGGAGAGCTCTTTTGATAGACAATGAGTTCTATTATACAGAGTTGGCAGGTCAGTTTTTTTACTTAGTCATCTGCCTAACTGTACTCTCTCATTCTATCTTCATTTCTGAAGTGGCACACAAAAACATTCAGGAAAATCTGTTAAATGTCTAAAGTTAGATGAACCTCAACTATAGCATACTATGCCTAGTAAGCAATAGCCTAATTCCACCAAAAAAATAAACATTCTTAGTAAGACTATACTGACTCTCAGTCATTAGAGATTCAGAATTCTTAAACCATCTGTTTGAAAGTTGAGTCTAGATTTTTAGGGCTCAATGGCAAATACACCAATCTATAGCTCATGTTACCCACTTTCTCTTTTGACTATCACTGTAACATCTGCCAAGCTTCTCAGCTCTCCAGTTTTCTCACAATTTAAGGGGTATTACAAATGTAAGCGCAAGTTTTCATGTGCTCCTAAAGAGAATTTGCCCGTGTCTGCAGTAGAACTCATTTAAGCAGCTCCTTGCTCTCCTTTTCAGGCTCCTTTTTAAATATTCATATTATTTTATCCTTTCCTACTTTTTAAGTCATTCCTCAATGGAAAAAATAAGTAGTTCTGTTCTCTCCATATAATTGCTTACTACTGCACCAAGTGCCATCCCCTCTTCATTACATTAGTAGTCTAGTAATTTATTCTAATTCTTAGTCTGTTCTATACTCTAGTCTTCGTGATAATATTGACAGATTTGTGTGAGACCTGTTTCCTAAAGCTCAGCAGCAAAATTAGTGTTTTCAAATTGTCTCACACCATGATTAAAGACAAATATTTATCTTTCCTAATGATTTAGATAATTCACTGTTGCTATGATAATGAAATATAGCCTACTGGTTTTTGGTTATACAACAGACTATGGTGTATTTATACATACCTCTGCAGTTAAATTTGGCGGTGTCATAATGTCTTTCAGCACATCTAAAAGAAAAGTTTAAATGTTACCCAAAGTTACCTTTTGCACTCTGAAGGGGAAAGCATTAATATTAACAAACATTTCCTGAACCTTTACAACATGTCAGGTATTTTGCTAAGTATTTTATTATTCATTATTTCATTTAAACATAAGAATTCTGTAAAGAAGTTACAATTGTTGTCTCTTTTATAATTACGAAAACTGGGAGGTCTGATCTTTTTAAGTTCTTTATAGATTCGAGATAGTAGACCTTTGTCTGAAAATGGGCATCTGAAATAAACAGACATTTCTCAGACAAAGAAGTAGAAATAGCAAATAAACACATGAAAAAATGTTCAACATCACTGGTCATTCGAGAGATGCAAATGAAAACAACACTGAGATTCCACCTCACTCCAGAAAGAATGGCTGCTATCA